TCGCTAAGATTTAACATTTATTTGAAATAGTTTCAATTGCCGTCACTGTTCGTTTAAAAAAAAAAAAAAACAACGAAAAAAAACAAAAACACGTAATTTATGCAATAGGGGTCAGAGCAATTATGAAAGCGTTATACAATATCTATCTAAATTTAAAACTTTTTAAATTTCGTCCATTGGACGAGGACGGTGGACAGGTTCAGGAAGAGGTTGGGGGGGGGGGGGCACTGACTCACTGCACCCGAGAAAATAAGAAATGCATGTATGAAACACTGTTTATTCATTTGTTTTAATTTTGATGTAAGAAATGTAAAAAAAAATTATTACGGTAATGTTTTATGATCAAAGGGAAAACACTCTGTAATTATTATATTTTTATCAATTACTCAGTACTTTCCCTTATCCTATTTTTAAAAATAAAATGCAGTAGTGCCTACGCCTTTTTCATCTTCTTTTTAAATTATAAGAGCTTTTTTTTCTTTCCCTTTTTTCTATTCTGTTTACTATTGTCTAGTTATTTTTTTTTACAGTAAAACGATACAATATGCTGCACATGTTTATTAATCATTAAATAACTCTCCGTGTAAATAATGGATTGGATTGTTTAAACTTCAAGTGGGTTCAAGCATCGTTCATCAAGCCCCACTTCAATATGGATTTTACTAGTTTCATGTTTAACATACCAGCAGTGTTACATATTTAGCATACCAGCAGTGTTACATGTTTAGCATACCAGCTGTGTTACATGTTTAGTATACCTGTTGTGTTACATGTTTAACATACCAGCTGTGTTACATATTTAGCATACCAGCAGTGTTACATGTTTAGCATACCAGTATTGTTACATGTTTAGCATACCAGCTGTGGCACATGTTTAACATACCAGCTGTGTTACATGGTTAGCATACCAGCAGTGTTACATGTTTAGCATACCAGCTGTGTTACATGTTTAACATACCAGCTGTGGCACATGTTTAACATACCAGCTGTGTTACATATTTAGCATACCAACAGTGTTACATGTTTAGCATACCAGCTGTGTTACATGTTTAGCATACCAGCTGTGTTACATATTTAGCATAACGTGTTACATGTTTAGCATACCAGCTGTGTTACATGTTTAACATACCAGCCGTGTTACATGTTTAGCATACCAGCTGTGGCACATGTTTAACATACCAGCTGTGTTACATATTTAGCATACCAGCTGTGGCACATGTTTAACATACCAGCAGTGTTACATATTTAGCATACCAGCTGTTACATGTTTAGCATACCAGCAGTGTTACATATTTAGCATACCAGCTGTGTTACATGTTTAACATACCAGCCGTGTTACATGTTTAGCATACCAGCTGTGTTACATGTTTAGCCTACCAGCTGTACTGCAGGTTTAACATGCCAGCTATGGTGTAGCTGTAGCATTGGTGCGACACGGGATGAAGCGACCATCTTTCCTGCAAGTTTCTTGACGTGTGGTTTGATCAAGCCCGGGCCCAATGTCGTTTATTTTTGTCTCGTCTGTGGCATTGGGGAGGTGCGACACAGCATTGTCATAGCACGTACACAACTCACTAATACACACATACACACGCTGTACACACACACACAGAGAAAGGGTGGGAGGAAATGCAGATCTTCTGTTTGCTTAAAGGACTACAATATTTCTATAGATAAAATTCCGGAAATGTGTCTGTTTATTTAGTCCAACGTTCTGGTACATGCCACATTCACAAGAAAATGACGTTGTGGTGTATGTCATTCATAAAAAAATGACGTTGTGGTGTATGTCATTCACAAGAAAATGACGTTGAGATGTAGGCCTATGCCATTATTGCCATTCACAAGCTAATGACCCATGACTAATGTTAAATGTCAACTAGTGAGCGGAGGTCATTCACAGATACGATAACACATGACACGCGTTAAATGTCAACTAAACTAAAAAAAATCCAAGCATGTCAATAACAAAGGCGACGACATGTGTTAAATCTCATCTGATTAGAATTCCCCCCCCCCCCCCCCAATGTCCGTTTTACGGCTAAACATAAACTCTGCACAGCTACAAAACAATACAACCGTTGACCACTTCACTTGCAAATGTGTTCGTTTGACTGGAGATAAGGTTGTCGCTGTTTAAAGTATCTTAATTAACTTACTATCAGGATTTCTTCCCTTCTGGAGGTGGTCGGTGTATGTGTTTCGGGGAGGGGATGTAGAGATGGGTGGGGGTGCAGAGTGACCCCTTAAAAGAACACTCCTGATGATTGCCTTAATATTGCCGATCATAAGTACCATATCCTGCTCATTTTTCGTGTAAGACACATGAACAAACACATGAACAAACTCATGAACAAACACATGAACAAACACATGAACAAACACATGAACAAACACATGAACAAACACATGAACAAACACATGAACAAACACATCAACAAACACATGATCAAACACATGAACAATTACATGAACAAACACATGAACAAACACATCAACAAAAACATCAACAAAAATATCAACTAAAACATCCCGGTAACTGCTTTTCTAAGAAAATCAGCAGAATAACAGGAAATCCTGGTTCTCGTACAAGAATCACGGCCTCAGATGATGCGTTAAGGAGAAGACTCGTTCAACCTTTAACAATAGCAGTAGTTATCAGAGGCAGAAGATATGATGACTGGGCCATGTGGTAGGAATGGGTGCATTGGCTAGGACTGTAGAGTGGAGGTCTGTATGACTGTATGACTGTAGGAGTGTAGGTCTGTATGACTGTATGACTGTAGGAGTGTAGGAGTGTTGGTCTGTATGACTGTATGACTGTAGGAGTGTAGGTCTGTATGACTGTAAACTGTGAGAGTGTAGGAGTGTAGGTCTGTATGACTGATGGACAGCAGCAGGAAACGAGAAAGATCAAATGAGAAGGAGTTGAAGGAAGGCGGTGTAACGATGCAACAGACAGGATTCTAGAGACAGAACAAAATGGCTCTCTCTTGTTGATGGGGGGAGTTGAAGGAAGGCAGTGTAACGATGCAACAGGCAAGATTCTAACTAGAGACAGAACAAAATGGCTCTCTTGTTGATGCCTCAAGTGCAAAAGGGCGTTCAGAGATGATGATATTGACACTAACTACATAGTGACATTCGTACATCAGCTATATAATAGCTTTCTTACATAAATAACATAATGAGATTCTTACACCAGCTACATAATGAGATTCTTACGGTAAATTATTTAGTCTGCACGAGTTCAGAGTTTCTTCCAGGCATCTCCCCCCCCCCCCCCGAACGAAATGAAATTTATATAATTTATCTAGAAAATATATACTTTTAACAGTGGTCCCCCCCCCGAAGAAAGTCTACCCCCCCCCCCCCCCCCGAAAATTTCAAGTGCCCCCCCCCCCCCCCGGAGAAAAAAGTCTGGAAGAAACACTGCACGAGTTATATATAATTACATTCTTACACGAGCTACATAATGAAATTCTTACACATAATGACATTCTTACAGTAAACCATTTAGCTTACACAAGCTACATAATGACATTCTTACAGTAAACCATTTAGCTTACACGATCTATATAATGACGTTCTTACACCAGCTACATATTACTTCCTGGCGGTGTCCTGCTAGGCACGGTTTGCTTACAACACAATACAGTGACTATCACTGACGTAGTAGTCTCAATGAGTTCAGTTGTTATCAAAGTATCTGAAACAACAATGGGCTAAGTTCCCTGAACACTGATAATGGATTATATATAAATACGGCGTATATATATATATATATATATATATATATATATATATATATATATATATATATATATATATATATATATATATATATATATATACGGCGTATATATATATATATATATATATATATATATATATATATATATATATATATATATATATATATATATATATATATATATATAGACTCTCTAATTTCTTTATACTATTCACCACTCTCACTCTCCTAATGAATATTTTTTAAATTACAAAATGAGAACCGTAGCTTGCTGCTGCTAACTTATGTCCGTTAGGCACAGCTACCCCCTGTAGTCACTGATGTTTTAACCGTCCTAGATCTTCATCACAATTACATCATGACAAATTTTATAAATATAATTTTACATTACAAATCGCACTAAAGCATTCAGAGTTTCTTCCTGTTTCGTCTACCCCCCCCCCCCCCCGAACGAGATGGAATTTATATAGTAAACATACACTTTTACTACTGTCCGCCGCCCCCCCCCCCCCCCCCCCCCGGAGAAAAAGTCTGGAAGAAACACTGAAAGCATTAGTTTTGGCTAGAGTTTGGAAATATGACACGTTTTTGAAATGTAATTACATGTGCACGCCAGTTTAAATTAAAATAAAATAAAGACAAAGTATTATTTTCTATTATTACGCTATAGTTCTAGATCTAGATCTAGAAATCTAGATCTAGTTTTTTTAAAACTTCTTTTGTCAATAAAGGGAAGTAACAGTTAAAACTTGGACATGGTTTTAAGAGGGGGCGTGTCATTTTAAAAGTTTTGTTACCCAACATTATCGTTCCTTAACAATAATCCTAACTTCAGTAATTATGTATCCTCTCTTATAGTAAGGCAGATAACTGAAAATTATGGTAATAAGAAAATAATAGTTTCAAAACGTAATATCATAGTTTCTAGTTCATGTAAGACCTACAATTATTTCTGGGAAATTAATTGAAACTATGCCATATATCTTTATAGCCTAACCCAGGAATACTAGGCCTATATCCTGTAGCTTTATTAAAGTCTCAGAATAATAGTTGTAATGTTATACACTCTAACCACACATTTTGATAGTATATAAAGCTGCTGAATGTACTTGAATGTAGTTAGTGCTATTTATTTTTTATGACTTTATTAGTGTTTTTCAATCGACTTTGCTAATAATTAAAACTAATAATAAACAATGTATGCAATAGCCTCCCTTTACTATGTTTATCTTTAATTTGTACTTCAGGTAAAAATATGGCGACTCGACTCGAACAATTGTTGCTTTTTATAGAACTTCGTACGTTTGTTGTTGTTATTTTAAAGTCATAATAATAATAGATCTAGATCTATATTGTTCTTTTTTAGAACCTAGTTATTTAGACTATAATGGATTGATAAAATAACGGTAGGTAGAAACAGGCCTGTGGTGTTTTGTTTATGTAGATTTAATTTAATTTTAATAATTTTGAGGTGTAGGCCTAAGAAAAATTTGAATGAATCATGACATTTTTTAAAATGAATGTCAACATAATTTTTCTAGCCCAACCCTTGTAGATCTACTCGCTACTTGTACACTTGTTCAATATTTAGATTCTAGATCAAAGACTAAGTTAGTAGCCTAATTAATAAGACCTAGCCTAATGAAATGGCCTACTACCCTAATCGCCACTAACTAATCGGGCCTAATCCTAACTAATCTGAATCACTAATCTTGTACTTGTTAGTCGTTAGTTTTAGAGTTTAGAGTTTTAGTTTAGTCTAAAACTAACAAGATAAGACATTGATTTTGATTTAGTAATAAGTAATTAGACTAGAAATAGAAGAGGGGACTTGACTTTAATTTAAATCTTATCTTAATCTTATGTCTGGTAAACAGTAAACACTGATTTCTAGATCTCCTACTGATTAAACAGTAGTAGAATACAGATATACTATATTACTATAGAATAACGATCTATTATTATAGTAATATTATTATTAAATATCAGGCCTACTAACTACTAGGACCTATAGTAAATTTATAGTCTATACTATTTGCTAAGTATTTTTAAATTATTTTAAATTATTAGTGTTTAGTAGGCCTGTTAAATTAAAATGTTAATAATAGCCTAAAAACTAATACTTTTCACTACTTTTCACTACTTAATAATAATAGATCTAGTAAGATCTAGGTCCTTTTTTAGGCCTACTTTGTGTGTACTTACATACATTACAGTTATAAGTTACCTACGCTGTCGTATGGAATCTAAAAATGTAGGCCTATGGGACAATATTTCGAGTCGACCCTTTGTACCCTTTGTGGGCTTGTTGCTTTGAGTAAAATATATTATAAACTCAAACAATAATATAAACAATCTCATTTAAATTTGTCTGTCCACATACCACGGACATGTAATGTTGTTAACAAGAATATTTTGCTTTAATATTACATTTTAATTTTTAAACTGATTAAGTATTAATACTAGATTTTTACCAACAGGGAATGGCAATGGGATTAATTGGTATTCAGACAGCACCCCACCTGAGAGTTGTTATATTTTGTGAGGTTGTAGACAGTTAATGACATGGCATCAAATAGGGACAGACAGTCCCCCACTCAGGGCCTCATCCCACCCCCTGTCGCTGCTCCTCGTCGTCGCAGTCCAGTGAACGTGCCAGACACCTTATTGGAGGGGCACCGAGCGCCACCAATACCCGCTCGCAGGAAAAGCCTGGCCAGAAAAAACGAAGAAGGGGAAATGACAGTTTTTTCTCCTGATTTTGGCAATGATGATAGCAATGCAAAACGAAAAATGACCTTCCCGAAATCTAACTCCATGTTTTCTAATGATGACCTTCAACCAGTGCCTGAAATGGACAGCAGATTTTCCTTGCCCCAGTCTACCAGTGGTTGTACCATGCACCCTGACTTGGACGGGCTAGATTTCAGTGGGTCAGTATTCCCTAGTGTGAACACTGAGTCGCGGCCACGCAGCTCATCAACTGATGAAATTCGGGACAGCCGCAAGCATATATACCCAGACATAAGCCATGCCTTTAGAGGGATAACACCACAGTTGCCTACTTCATTGCAGTATGCATACAATGGATCACAGTACCAAACAAACGCAGGCGTGTTACCCACCAGCTCTGTGGCTTCACAAAATATAGGTGGGTATGGCTGGAACAGCAGTGTATTTAACAACCTAAACTCAGGAGGTGCCGCTACCAGTCTAGCATCATCCCAGTTCTATAATTCATATTCCACTGTAGCCCCCAAAGGAAACCTGCATGTGTACCCACAACTCCCAAGCACTGTGGCAGACAACAACCTGATGTACCCAGCCAACAACTATCTCAGCCTGTTTAACACAGCCGGCTACAGCACAAACTACATGACATCTGCTGCGTACGACCACAACCCACAAGCCAGTACTGGGGTGGGGACTAAGTTAAACTATGTACCAAACATACATCCAGCAGGAGGCGCGTCTAGAGAGTCCTCCGCCTCACCCAGCAACCTGTTCCCCACACCAGCCCCCACAGGTTTTGATGACACGTTTTTCCCCTCGGAGAGTTCAACCAGCACAGCAGATGGGGACCTGATCAAACTGGGGAGTTTTTTACCTGAGCATGAGTACCTCTCTCTCGATTACTTTGATCCTCTTTACTCCCGTGGGAGGAAAGAATCAATCTCCCACAGTGAGGTCTCATCCCCCCAAAGTCCAGCGCCCACCACGTATTCCTTTGGAGAAGCTTTTCCTAACTTGTATGAGGAACACACTGGTGCTGCCACTGCTGGAGATGACCATATATGGACACCCATGACCAGCACACAGCAGACTGTCAAGCCTCCCCCTATAGGTTTTGAAGCATTCAACGCCGATGTGTTTGGGCAAACTTTTGGGACCAGTGATGAAGAATTTTTGAGAACTGAAGCAGGAGAGGTGTTTAGGTCACCTGCGTATGATGCCCCAGGTAACATTGTTGTGGGGACCAGTGACAAGCCTGCCAGACCACCATCTTGGCGCCTGCCTCAGGTAGGTTTTTCACCTGTTATAGCTGTTTGTTGTTGTGCTTAACTTTTGTCTGACTAGTGCGGTAAATAACTAGCTGAAGCATTAGCTTTATTTGGTTATTAAACGATACAACAATAGAACTAATATTGAGGCTGAGACAGCCAAAATAAATGATAAATGTTAAAAATAAGAAATGTTAAGAACCTAATCCCTCTACCACAGTTAAAGTCATCAATGGTGGGATCAGATACTGGTTTGTTTTTACTAGGGTTAAGATAGATCAATTTAAAATCTAAAATATTTTGATCAGCCATGTTTCTATTGTTTGATTTTAAAAGGACACAAGATTTGAACATTTGAGAAAGCGAACATTTATAGATCCTGAATCCGAATCATTCTGTCAAATGGTTGCAGAGTAAGTCATATTTGCATAATATGCTACCCAGTTAGTCATTTTTGTATAATTTTCTTTTTGAAAATATCTTTTATTTATGTGTCAATAACCCTATGACTTGTAATTTTAAATAGTTTATTGACTGAATTATAAATACTTTATGATTTTATGGATTTGATATGTTTCAGCCTAAAGAAGAGATATCTATCAACTGATGAAAAGACAAACCAGGGATTCCTTATAAATCAGATACGAGAGTGTCATATGGGGTCAATCCAGGTCAAGGTCAACGTCCACACACAGTTTGCCTCGGAACCTGTGTCATTTACCTGTGACAGTAAGTCAGTTGTTATTGCTATAAAGTGTGGTTTATGTTCACTCTCATCTTGGATGTTGGGTGGGTTTTGTTGGTTGTCTGACCCCATCTGATATGGGGGTTCTGTTCTTGTAATGGGGTCAGCATGATTTTCATTGTCTGACCCCACCGGCAGTGGCCACCAGTATCTGTGATGGGATCAGTACCTAAAATAATCCTTGTTCACTCAGCAAGATATTTAATCTCATTCAGGGTACACAGTAGTATAAAAAACAAAATGACTCTAAAAATTGTCTTTATAGTTGTCTTGATTGTAATATTTTAATTATTTTAAACATCGACAGCAACAATTTTGTTTAAGTATATTAATTGTGTCAAACATTGACAGCGACCGCGCTGGTGGAGCACCTGATCAGCCACGTCCTCTACACAGTTCTCCCAGCTGATCCCCAGCCTGATACAAATAAATTTCTGCTGAAAGTGTATGACCGCACGGAATATCTGGACAAGTAAGGCCTTCACTATCAAATTTGGTCTCAACAGTTGACTCTGTAGTTTTATATAAAATATATTGTGCCATGAAGTCCTCATTTTCTAATTCTTAGTAGATACATCTATATATATAATTCTCTTCTGGGAGCCGCTAGAAAACAAGCTGCAAACGCGCCTAGAAAACAAGCTGTAAACGCGCTCCCTACCTCCCCACCCCTACATGGTTTTAGTGAGCTGTGTTCACTCTAAATGTTTACAAGCAGAGCCAACGATTTTAAACGTAGGGGGGGGGGGGGGGGGGAAGGGGGGGTGTTATGGTCCTTAACGAGCTACTTATAGTGTTTTAAAGAAATATTTTCAGTGTCAGCGTTGGTACTGTCGAATTCACAAATTATGAATTACTGAAAATTAGAAACAACTAAATAGCGGCGTATGTTATGCAGCGGGCCAGCTCGTTTAGATATATTTGTCACTGTATATTTTGTGTCATGTAAATCATTGAAACAGTAAAGTTTTGAGTTTAATTGTTCATTAGGAATAACATTATGCTATAATTGCATTAATAAAAACAAATTTAATGTAGTAAAATTTACAGTATTTTTTGGAGAGTTAGCCAGAGTTTTAAAATCCATTTAAATTTTTTTTTTTGCTTTGTAGAATATTACTAATAGAGTTGTTTGATACAGTCCCTTTTAAAACAACTGTCATACTCCATTATTTCACTGAACCGCCCCTTAATAAATAAAACAACTGTCATACTCCATTATTTCACTGAACTTCCCTATAATAAATAAAACAAGTGTCATACTCCATTATTTCACTGAACCGCCCCTTAATAAATAAAACAACTGTCATACTCCATTATTTCACTGAACCGCCCCTTAATAAATAAAACAACTGTCATACTCCATTATTTCACTGAACCACCCCTTAATAAATAAAACAACTGTCATACTCCATTATTTCACTGAACTGCCCCTTAATAAATAAAACAACTGTCATACTCCATTATTTCACTGAACCGCCCCTTAATAAATAAAACAACTGTCATACTCCATTATTTCACTGAACTTCCCTATAATAAATAAAACAAGTGTCATACTCCATTATTTCACTGAACCGCCCCTTAATAAATAAAACAACTGTCATACTCCATTATTTCACTGAACCACCCCTTAATAAATAAAACAACTGTCATACTCCATTATTTCACTGAACCGCCCCTTAATAAATAAAACAACTGTCATACTCCATTATTTCACTGAACTTCCCTATAATAAATAAAACAAGTGTCATACTCCATTATTTCACTGAACCGCCCCTTAATAAATAAAACAACTGTCATACTCCATTATTTCACTGAACTGCCCCTTAATAAATAAAACAACTGTCATACTCCATTATTTCACTGAACCGCCCCTTAATAAATAAAACAAGTGTCATACTCCATTATTTCACTGAACTGCCCCTTAATAAATAAAACAAGTGTCATACTCCATTATTTCACTGAACCGCCCCTTAATAAATAAAACAAGTGTCATACTCCATTATTTCACTGAACTGCCCCTTAATAAATAAAACAAGTGTCATACTCCATTATTTCACTGAACCGCCCCTTAATAAATAAAACAAGTGTCATACTCCATTATTTCACTGAACCGCCCCTTAATAAATAAAACAAGTGTCATACTCCATTATTTCACTGAACTGCCCCTTAATAAATAAAACAAGTGTCATACTCCATTATTTCACTGAACCGCCCCTTAATAAATAAAACAAGTGTCATACTCCATTATTTCACTGAACTGCCCCTTAATAAATAAAACAAGTGTCATACTCCATTATTTCACTGAACCACCCCTTAATAAATAAAACAACTGTCATACTCCATTATTTCACTGAACTGCCCCTTAATAAATAAAACAAGTGTCATGCTCCCTTATTCCAGTGAAATGCCACTTGCCAACTTTGATTATGTGCACAGCTGTTTGAAGCTGGACAAGGATGTTTCCCTGGAGCTGATCACCTGTGAGGAAGTGTCTCGGCCATTCATCAGAACTGTGAGCACTGTTTGTCTGCAGTCTTTGATAACTGATAGTTTTATTTTTGTAATCGAGTTTAAGGCTGCGCCCCAAAGTACTGAAGTAGTTAAGATTAATTGTAAATCAGTAGGTTTTTAAAAAAATATTAATATAATAATTATAATTGCTGCTTAATAAAAAACTGATAAAAAGTTATTTCTTGATTAAACACTTCTCATTAAAATGTTAAAATTATTGCACCCATAATTAAAGAAAAAACCCCACTGTTTGGCTATTTCAATTAGAAAGTTGAGTGTCCATTTAGTGTATGAAATGTAAGCCAGTAATGATGTTGTTTTGTTTATAGAGAGATGATGATATCCAGATGTTGTATTTCCCTAAAGAATACATCAACATGGATGGCAAATCAGTTTCACAGTGAGTTACCTCCCATTTGTTTAAACTAAGTAAACTTAATTCACTCAAAAGCACATATGGTCTCCATTGGACCAGTGCTTTTTAAATAATATTTTGTAACATTATTCTGAATGCTTTTAATGAGTTTTTTGTATCTATTTGAGAAAGTTTGCTTGACTATTTGTACTAGAAATGAAAATATGAGTCCATTTTTTGTTATGTATGCCAATATTTTAGGCTTTAGCTCTGATGCTTATAGATTATCAAGGCTATAGAGTGGGATTTTTATGATCTTAAAGATGGTACCATTCAGGGTTACTTGGCTTTCACTACTAGGGCTTTTAATAGCACATGTCATTTGGAGGGACATGACATTTAGTTTGAAGGCTTGTGTTAGCACTTGACATTTGGTCTCAAGATTTTTTTACAATTTGCTGTTTAGTCCATAGGCTTGTGTTAACACATGTAAGTCTGAAGATTTGAGTTAGCACATGACATTTAGAGGGACATGACATTTAGTCTGAAGATTTGAGTTAGCACATGACACTTAGACAGTAAGCTTTTATTAGCAAATGGCATTAAAGTAGAAACTGTTATCAACATTGAAAAAGCGAGCATATAATAACACATGACATTCTAAGATAAAGTTGTCATTAGCAGATGACAGTTTAGAGGGAATGCATCATTAGCGCTGTAATAAAGCTGAATGCATATATTAGCGCTGTAATAAAGCTGAATGCATTTATTAGCTCTGTAATAAAGCTGAATGCATTTATTAGTGCTGTAATAAAGCTATCTGGCTTGGTTTATGCTTTATACAGAAATCTACCCCCACTACTTTAAATTTCTATCCTTGCTACTGCACTAATAGCTTTAGCTAAAGTCGCCATTAGCTTATCAGGTGTGAATAATGTGAATAGTTGTAGTCTTGTCTAATAGGGTTTAACGAGGTGAAACAAAATTTGTTGCTTATTTTTTTTTCTAGAGAGGCTTTATCTGTACTTATAGACACATTTTATCATGAGGTGGATGTTATACTGGAGCATTGTAGGAAGGTAATGCTACATTTAGATGTCATTTTTTAATGGTCTTTTTTAATGATGCATTGATATTTGTAGCTATATTAGATTAGATTACATATAATAGGAGGGTAGCAATATTAGCTTAGTACTATTAATTTCTGAAATGTATGTATTTAAAATGTTTGTTTGCTTTTACTTTTGTAATAGTCTGTGAGCTAATCTCAAGTTGTCAACAATGTAAGATCTAATTTTTGACAGCAGCTTTGTGACTCAACCTGCTGTTGGTGGTTGATTAAAAGCTTGCATATCATTACTACAGCTTTGCTCATCTTTGTAAACATTTACCCTCCCATTAATATCATGTACTCTTGTGTTTGGTGATGTAGTGTTTGTGTGTGGGTGGAGAGTACTAAATCAATTGGTAATCCCTTGCATGATGGGTCGTTGTTTGACAGGATGGAGCAGCCAGTTTCCAGGTGCAGACCCTGGTCCAGTCGGTCAAGGCCATCTGCTTTAACCTGGCCAAGGTTGAAACTGTTGAGATCAGTAAGGCCTTGGATCAGATCAGACGCAATGTAGAAGAACTTGTGGTAAGGACCTTGGTCAAAGGTTTCTCTAATTTAATTCACACACTAGCACTTTCAGAAACAACAGCTAGGCTATTTAGTCTCCCCACCCAGAGGCGTAGCGACACTTCCCGGCACCCGAGGACGAATTTTCGATTTGCACCCCCCCACCCCCTCAAACTTTCGATCGATTTACACCCCCCTCCTCAAACTTTCAATTTGTTTTTCCAACCCATTTTGGCACCCCCCTAAGGTCGGTGCCCGGGGACATATGTCGTCCCCCATCCCCACCCCCCCCCCCTGCTACGCCTCTGTCCCCACCATGTCATAGGCATCCTTCCTATGTCATCTTACAACCAACATGCAAATACATACTCTCTGCACACTATGCATTCTCTTCAACTCTAACATCAACTGTCATAATCTATCTAATCTATGCAAGCCTGGTACATATAATCCGCAGTAACATACTGACACCATGACATATAGCACGTCTCAACACCATTTTAAAACCTTGCTGGTCACATGTAGTCAATAGTACCTTGTTGTACTTCTGATAATATAAACTTGTCTGTTCTTTCCTCTTGATCAGAACCCAAGTGCCAGGTCCCAGTCAATGTTTGGAAGCCATTCTCAGGATAAAGACACTCAGGACGCCATCAAGTAGGTCACATGCAGGACTCACTCTACCCAACTGTTAGAACCTGATGTTAGACGCTTAAGATTTGAATTACTGAAATGTTACATGATCTGATTCTAGTGTGTCTATAGAACCACCACTGAAATGTTACAAAATCTGATTCTAGTGTGTCTATAGAACCACCACTGAAATGTTACAAAATCTGATTCTAGTGTGTCTATAGAACCACCACTGAAATGTTACAAAATCTGATTTAGTGTGTCTATAAAAACTCACTCGAATGTCACAAAATCTGATTGTAGTGTGGCTATAAAACCACCACTAAAATGTCTCAAAATCTGATCTAGCGTTGCGGTTCGCTGCTCTCTGCTGGAGGACCTAGAGGCTTCTGTCAATCTGCTGATTGATGCTGTCAAGCGATTGGTGCGGATGTACTGTAGGACATTCCTCACAGACTTTTTCCTGGGCTCTTCCGTTGTGGTTCCACACGGTAAGTTCAAAATCAGAATTTTGCATTTTAATACTTAAAGAATAAGCTCTGTATACTGTTATAGAGACAGATATCAAGGCCCGTAAATAGGGATGGATCGGACACATATTAAGAAAAGAAAAAGAAAACATAGCAAAACACGCTTTGGATTGGAATCCCCAGGGGAAAAGGAGGGTGGGCCGGCCAAGGAAAACATGGAAGAGAACGGTTGAAGAAGCGGCGAAAACAGCTGGGCTCACATGGGCACAGATGAAGGGAGCAGCCCAAAACCGAGTCCGATGGATATGTGTGGTTGCAGCCCTTTGCTCCCCAGGGGCCACAAAGGAATGATGATGACTGTTATAACATATTATTCTACATATTCTGCAGTTTAGAGAGAAATATATTTACTCTTACTAATGGACTAAAATCAAATTTTCTTCTTCAACAGATCATTTAGAAGTTGTGAAGGTCAAGGATAACTTTCTTGTTTGTATTTCCTCTGCTCATGGCCTGCCACCTGGAGCTTCAAACAGGTATCTAAAAATAGACCACAAGCGATGTTTCTGTAGCCTGTACCATCTTATGTTTTGTGTATGTGTTTTGTTATGCTACACCACTAGTGATGTTTCTGTCACAGATATGACCAGTACAAGATAGTCTGTAGCCTGTACCATCTTATGTTTTGTGTACGTGTTTTGTTATGGTACACCACTAGTGATGTTACTGTAGCCTGTACCATCTTATGTTTTGTGTATGTGTTTTGTTATGCTACACCACTAGTGATGTTTCTGTCACAGATATGACCAGTACAAGATAGTCTGTAGCCTGTACCATCTTATGTTTTGTGTACGTGTTTTGTTATGGTACACCACTAGTGATGTTACTGTAGCCTGTATCATCTTATGTTTTGTGTACGTGTTTTGTTATGGTACACCACTAGTGATGTTACTGTAGCCTGTACCATCTTATGTTTTGTGTACGTGTTATGCTACACCACTAGCGATGTTTCTGTGACAGATATGACCAGTACAAGATAGTCTGTAGCCTGTACCATGGCACAAAGAAGCTTGTGCCTGATGTCTCTACAACCTTCAAGTCCTTGTCTGTTGGGCTCTGTGAGAGGGTCCATTGGGATGAATGGTATTATTTTATATCTTTATTTAATAATACACTATGTAAAGGACTGCTTTAAAAAAATTAGCTTAGATAATTTCTGTTTTTTTTTCTTCTTTTTTAAAACTTTATTGATTGTTGATTTGTTTAGAAATATATTTCTAATCTTAATTTAAAAAAAAAACTTTTTTTTTGTTTGAGTTTGTCCAGGTATATTATTTTAAATATTAATTCTCTGTTTGGTTATATTTTATAGTAATAATTTAAACCTGGCCCATCTTGTTATTTTTGTTTTAGTCTTTTGATCTGGTCCAATAATTTTTCTTTTCTGTTTTAGTATTTTGTATCTGGTATCAAACTTAAGAATACTTGTTCACAAATAAACCAAAAAGATAAAATTAATGTTTATGGATTACTTTTTAGGCTGAACTTTGAACGTATGGCTTTGTCAACAATGCCAAGAGAGACAAGACTCTGCCTAATGCTTTGTGCTGTTAGCAAATACCCAGCAGGGGCAGATAAAAACATTGAAAAAGGGGAGGTCACTGCAGACAAAAAGATAATCTACTCATTAGGAGCCGCATCTATACAGCTCTTCAATGAAAAGGGGTAATTAAATACTATGTAATTAATAATTAAATTGCATACACACATATATATTATATTATATCTATACTTAATTTCTTTTTGGGATTAATTTAACAATTAATATCAGTTGCATTATTCTACAACAAGAGATATGTTGCAACTATACACTTGGACCATTTTAAATACAAACTTTTACTTTCAATTTTGCTCCGATGAACGCTATTGCAATTGTGATAATCTCCATTTAGCTATTTGAACCAAGGTCCTCAGCTGGTACCACTCATGATGGGTGTTAGATCAGATCCCATAATGCCATCTTGTAAAACTCTACTTCCTGACTCAGTACTACTTCAGGTAGGTCCCAGATCATATATACCATAACCCCTTTTGGTTTCTACATACAATCCCTTATCAAAAAATGAAACACTACAACCAGGAATGAGACAGCCACATTCTAGTATGTACATCATTTCATCAAACTAACATTGAGGGCAGTAAATTTGTCATAGATTTTAACTCTTCCCTCTCGAAAGCATCACACCAACCTCCATTGTATTCAATCAAAATATATAAAAAAATTCCCATTTCTCACAGGTAAATCTTCCTGATTTTGACCGCACCATTTTCTTTCCAGAACCATCAACCTTTGCAAATAGGTCAGTTTTTGTAAGATAGGGAATAAATCTACATATTATATAGCCCATCTGGCTACATGTTTATTTTTAAGTGTGTTCTACCTGTTCCCTCAAGAGTTTACACTTGTCTATAGAAATGTATTTTGTTACCGCCACAGCAAGCGCAAGTCTTTCAATGATCTTCTGCCTGCCATCCGCATGCTGGTTCATGAGGTTATGGAGAAAGAATCCTGTTCAGCGTAAGTTGCAATTTATTCAAAAATATTTTTTTCTTCAAAAGTTTCTGGTAATTTTAAAATCTTTACTAGAACTTAAACAGTATTTTTAAAGAAATAATTAAGAGAAAATATTTTGTAATTTGAAATTTTGCTGGTGTAATGCTCAGCTTGTTCCTATTCTGTTTCTTCCTCATTCAATCATCATTTTCTTCCCATAAACAGTGGTCAATGTGTTTTTCACATTTACAGATCGCCTTATTAAAATTTTTTTTAGGTGCATTTCAGGTTTACTATTATTTTGATACATCAGAAATGTTTATTTCTGTGTTTTTTAGATTTACTGCTGAAGAGTTTGAGATTCTGTGGAGCCATCGCCACTACATGATCGACTACCCTTCTTTGTTACCCAGAATCCTCCAGGCTGCTCAGTCGTGGGACTGGGCCAGTTTGCCAGAAATTTATTCCCTGCTGCGCTGCTGGAAAACACTTCACCCCATGCAGGCTTTTGAGCTGCTCCTGCCTCAGTCAGTACACTACGTCAGTCATAACATACATAGTGTAGGATGGGACAGTAGAGAAACTCCTACCTCAGTCAGTACACTACCTTAGTCAGTACACTACCTCAGTCAGTACACTACCTCAGTCAGTACACTACATCAGTCATAACATACATAGTGTAGGGTGGGACAGTAGAGAAACTCCTACCTCAGTCAGTACACTACCTCAGTCAGTACACTGCTTCAGTCATAACATACATAGTGTAGGATGGGACAGTAGAGAAACTCCTACCTCAGTCAGTACACTACCTCAGTCAGTACACTACCTCAGTCATAACATACATAGTGTAGGATGGGACAGTAGAGAAACTCCTACCTCAGTCAGTACACTACCTCAGTCAGTACACTGCCTCAGTCAGTACACTACCTCAGTCAGTACACTACCTCAGTCAGTACACTACCTCAGTCAGTACACTACCTCAGTCATAACATACATAGTGTAGGATGGGACAGTAGAGAAACTCCTACCTCAGTCAGTACACTACCTCAGTCAGTACACTACCTCAGTCAGTACACTACCTCAGTCATAACATACATAGTGTAGGATGGGACAGTAGAGAAACTCCTACCTCAGTCAGTACACTACCTCAGTCAGTACACTACCTCAGTCAGTACACTACCTCAGTCATAACATACATAGTGTAGGATGGGACAGTAGAGAAACTCCTACCTCAGTCAGTACACTACCTCAGTCAGTACACTACCTCAGTCATAACATACATAGTGTAGGGTGGGACAGTAGAGAAACTCCTACCTCAGTCAGTACACTACCTCAGTCAGTACACTACCTCAGTCAGTACACTACCTCAGTCAGTACACTACCTCAGTCAGTACACTACCTCAGTCAGTACACTACCTCAGTCAGTACACTACCTCAGTCAGTACACTACCTCAGTCATAACATACATAGTGTAGGATGGGACAGTAGAGAAACTCCTACCTCAGTCAGTACACTACCTCAGTCAGTACACTACCTCAGTCAGTACACTACCTCAGTCATAACATACATAGTGTAGGATGGGACAGTAGAGAAACACCTACCTCAGTCAGTACACTACCTCAGTCAGTACACTACCTCAGTCAGTACACTACCTCAGTCATAACATACATAGTGTAGGGTGGGACAGTAGAGAAACAAAAGATTTTTGTTCCCATTTTGTAAATCTGTGACCAGATGTGTTGTAAAGTACAAAGACTGGCTTCTTGTTTACCTGACAGGTTTCCTGACTTGAGGGTCAGACAGTTTGCTGCTGACTGCTTGAACAAAATCCCTTCAGATGACCTGATAGACTTTCTGCCCCAGATGATCCAGGTATGCTTCTATTGCAGTAGAGCTAAATAATGCTAGCTAAATTGGTTTTCGCCCCCAACAGGGGCCTTTAATTTGAGAGCTTCTCAACTCTGTTCTAGCTAAATAATTTTGTCTCCCAAACAGGACCTCAAATTTGAGAGCTTCTCAACTCTGTTCTAGCTAAATAATTTTGTCTCCCAAACAGGACCTCAAATTTGAGAGCTTCTCAACTCTGTTCTAGCTAAATAATTTTGTCTCCCAAACAGGACCTCAAATTTGAGGGCTACTCGACTCTCCACTTGCTAAATATTTATTTTCTTTCTTACAATGCCTCAAATTTGAGAGCTACCACAACTCTACAAAAACAAAATTTATATTTTGTCTCCCTAACAGGGCCTCAAGTTTGAGAGCTACCACAACTCCCCATTGGCCAAGCTGTTATTAGAACAGTCATGTAAAAGTCCCCGCTTTGCTCACCAGTTCTTCTGGCTACTGAAAGGTCTGTGTGAAGTTTGTCTTAGTTTTACTATGGCTTGTGTAAGATGTATAGTTTTGATAAGTTTCTATAAGAAGCACCTGGTTATTCAGCTCACTGTGACAGCTAACCTTTTGGAATCAGATGCACACTGTGGCTTATAACTCTGGCCCAGGACATGTGGTTTTATGGCCAGCTGCATATCATAAATACTTTGTTAATTAAATAAACGTAACTGAGCACTGTGTCTGTTGTTGAAACGCAGGTGCTGCCTCCCAGGATGCAACATTCAAACGCAGGTACGAGCTGATGTTTGTTGCCCTGGCCTCCGTGACTGGCGACGCCCTCTATCAAGAGTTTAAGAAACAGGAAGAGCTAGTCAAGGTCGTGACATCTGTAGCAGAAAAGGTCAAGACTGCTAAGGACAAAGATGTAAGCAGACTGATCAAAATCTGAAAAACAATTTGTCATTTATAAGCTATTGAAATAAGACTTAACATAAAATTTGAAGACAGACTGTTCTCTATAGAAAGATTGAAGAAACATTGTTTAGACTATAACTGAGCTTACATGAAAATAAAATTTATTTCAGAATACACTGAAAAGGGAATTAATTCCTTTGCATGAAATGATAGAAAAGAAAGGGAGAATACTACTACCTTATAACCCCAGTATTGAAGTTGTGGGACTTGATATGAAAGTAGGTTAAGATTTTTTCATTTAAATTACTCATGTTGGTTAATCATTGTATTAAGACAAGTAAGAAATATTTCATGTGTGTAAAATGATGTAAAATCAATAGACTTTTGTTTGAGTAGAAAAAATTAAAAGATTTAACTCCACTTTTTCAGTCATGTTCCTACTTTACTTCAAATGCCTTTCCTCTGAAACTGGTGTTCAAAAATCTAAACCCTAAGGCAGACTCACATTATGCCATCTACAAGGTAAGTTCACATCCATCAAGGGAGATTATTCACTGATCATGTTTAGTCTACACTGTTAATTTTAAAATGCAAGAACTAGTGAATGGATTGACTGACTTAGTTTAGTTGAAACATCAGTGACAGTCATTATAAATACAGCTTACCCACTTGAAGTCACTGAAATTATTTTGTTCATTAATTAAACTAAATTTAAATACCATTGGTCCACTTGTTACCTCTGTGATTGACCTCTGATTGACCTTGACAGGTTGGAGATGACCTGAGGCAGGACATGTTGACCCTGCAGATGATCCGGATTATGGATAACCTGTGGCTGCAGAAAGGCCTGGATCTGCGGATGATTCTCTTCTCTTGTCTGGCCACTGGACCAAAGAAAGGTGTTTTATTGTGCTGGCTTAGTTGATTTATTTTTGCTAACCTAGTGATAACTGTTTGAGATTCACTGGGGTCTGTGCTGGCTTAGTTGATTTATTTGTGCTAACCTAGTGATAACTGTTTGAGATTCACTGGGGTCTGTGGTGGCTTAGTTGATTTATTTTTGCTAACCTAGTGATAACTGTTTGAGATTCACTGGGGTCTGTGCTGGCTTAGTTGATTTATTTGTGCTAACCTAGTGATAACTGTTTGAGATTCACTGGGGTCTGTGCTGGCTTAGTTGATTTATTTTTGCTAACCTAGTGATAACTGTTTGAGATTCACTGGGGTCTGTGCTGGCTTAGTTGATTTATTTTTGCTAACCTAGTGATAACTGTTTGAGATTCACTGGGGTCTGTGCTGGCTTAGTTGATTTATTTGTGCTAACCTAGTGATAACTGTTTGAGATTCACTGGGGTCTGTGGTGGCTTAGTTGATTTATTTGTGCTAACCTAGTGATAACTGTTTGAGATTCACTGGGGTCTGTGCTGGCTTAGTTGATTTATTTGTGCTAACCTAGTGATAACTGTTTGAGATTCACTGGGGTCTGTGCTGGCTTAGTTGATTTATTTGTGCTAACCTAGTGATAACTGTTTGAGATTCACTGGGGTCTGTGCTGGCTTAGTTGATTTATTTTTGCTAACCTAGTGATAACTGTTTGAGATTCACTGGGGTCTGTGCTGGCTTAGTTGATTTATTTGTGCTAACCTAGTGATAACTGTTTGAGATTCACTGGGGTCTGTGCTGGCTTAGTTGATTTATTTGTGCTAACCTAGTGATAACTGTTTGAGATTCACTGGGGTCTGTGCTGGCTTAGTTGATTTATTTGTGCTAACCTAGTGATAACTGTTTGAGATTCACTGGGGTCTGTGCTGGCTTAGTTGATTTATTTGTGCTAACCTAGTGATAACTGTTTGAGATTCACTGGGGTCTGTGCTGGCTTAGTTGATTTATTTGTGCTAACCTAGTGATAACTGTTTGAGATTCACTGGGGTCTGTGCTGGCTTAGTTGATTTATTTGTGCTAACCTAGTGATAACTGTTTGAGATTCACTGGGGTCTGTGCTGGCTTAGTTGATTTATTTGTGCTAACCTAGTGATAACTGTTTGAGATTCACTGGGGTCTGTGCTGGCTTTGTTGATTTATTTGTGCTTACTTAGTGGTGACTGTTTGAGATCCATTGTGTGTGTATTCAGGGTTTGTCTTGACGTTGTTTGCAAAATTGTCAAAATTTCCCGTGTGTCAAGTATAATTGTCAAAAATTCATGTTCCAGGTATAATTGTCAAAATTTCCCGTGTGTCAAGTATAATTGTCAAAAATTCATGTTCCAGGTATAATTGTCAAAATTTCCTGTGTCTAGTATAATTGTCAAATTTTCCCATGTTCCAGGTATAATTGTCAAAATTTCCCGTGTTCCAGGTATAATTGTCAAAAATTCATGTTCCAGGTATAATTGAGCTGATCACAGAGTCTGAGACCCTGAGGAAGATCCAGGTGTTCTCAGGTGTGACGGGTTCCTTCAAGGATAGACCAATCAAAGAATGGCTACAGAAACACAACCCCACAGAACTGGAGTACAACAGGGTAGGTGGATACATTCTGGTGCCGTCAGTATCTCTTCTTGTCTAAAGGGTTCATTAGCCTTTTTATCTCTGGCTCTCTTGCATGAAAGCTTTAGTCATCTAATTATTTGACTCATCAAGAGTTAGTTAATTAATGTTCAATTTGGAAGAATCTATGACTTGTTATGTTGTCTAGCATGGACTGTGGGCCAACCTGGCTAGCTGAACCTTGGTCTGGAACAGGCTGGTTTAGCCTGAGCTCATGAGCTGATCAGCACTTTTCTTTCATAAAACTTTAGTTCCTCTCATAAATTGTCCATTTTTCTCATACATTGTCCATTTTCTCTCACACATTGTCCATTTTTCTCATAAATTGTACATTTTCTCTCACACATTGTCCATTTTCTCTCACACATTGTCCATTTTCTCTCACACATTGTCCATTTTCTCTCACACATTGTCCATTTTCTCTCACACATTGTCCATTTTCTCTCACACATTGTCCATTTTTCTCATAAATTGTCCATTTTCTCTCACAACTTGCCTATTTTCTCTCTGTCCCCCCCCCCCCCCCCCCCCAGGCTGTGGACAACTTCACGTACTCGTGTGCTGGCTACTGTGTAGCCACGTATGTGCTAGGGGTGTGTGACAGACACAATGACAACATCATGTTGAAGCAGTCAGGCCACATGTTCCACATAGACTTCAGCAAGTTTCTGGGGGATGCCCAGATGTTTGGCACATTCAAAAGGTACACACACTGGTTAAACTTTTGTTAACTCAGTCTTGTTAACTTAGTCTTGAGTGGTTCTCACAATACAATGGATGTCACCAAGTCACCCAAATCTTATAGGTAGGCCCTACTTGGTTTGTTGGGGAAAGTAAAGACTGCTATGCTGATATAGTCCAATAGATGTCCCTGAGTTCCTTCATATCTGATGGGTACTCTGAGAAAATTACTGAAGTTAAGATGTATGGCTATGTTAGCTAAAATTTTATATAAACAATGCATTAAAGTTTTTAAATCCTGTCGTTAGAGATCGAGTGCCATTTGTCTTGACCTCTGACATGGCATATGTCATCAATGATGGAGCCAAAACAGGACCCAGGTACCAGAACTTTGTGGACCTCTGCTGCCAGGCCTTCAACATCCTCAGACAGCATGCAGACTTGTTCAGGAGTCTTTTTATATTGGTGAGTGTGGGACTAACATCTTTTTATATTGGTGAGTGTGGGACTAACATCTTTTTATATTGGTGAGTGTGGGACTAACATCTTTTTATATTGGTGAGTGTGGGACTTGTTCATGTCTTTTTATATTGGTGAGTGTGGGACTAACATCTTTTTATATTGGTGAGTGTGGGACTTGTTCATGTCTTTTTATATTGGTGAGTGTGGGACTAACATCTTTTTATATTGGTGAGTGTGGGACTTGTTCATGTCTTTTTATATTGGTGAGTGTGGGACTAACATCTTTTTATATTGGTGAGTGTGGGACTTGTTCATGTCTTTTTATATTGGTGAGTGTGGGACTTGTTCATGTCTTTTTATATTGGTGAGTGTGGGATTTGTTCATGTCTTTTTATATTGGTGAGTGTGGGATTTGTTCATGTCTTTTTATATTGGTGAGTGTGGGATTTGTTCAGAAGTCTTTTTATATTGGTGAGAGTGGGATTTGTTCATGTCTTTTTATATTGGTGAGAGTGGGATTTGTTCATGTCTTTTTAAATTGGTGAGTGTGGGATTTGTTCATGTCTTTTTAAATTGGTGAGTGTGGGATTTGTTCATGTTTTTTTAAATTGGTGAGTGTGGGATTTGTTCATGTCTTTTTATATTGGTGAGTGTGGGATTTGTTCATGTCTTTTTAAATTGGTGAGTGTGGGATTTGTTCATGTCTTTTTAAATTGGTGAGTGTGGGATTTGGTAAGAAGTTTTTTTTATATTGGTGAGTGTGGGATTTGTTCATGTTTTTTTAAATTGGTGAGTGTGGGATTTGTTCATGTCTTTTTATATTGGTGAGTGTGGGATTTGTTCATGTCTTTTTAAATTGGTGAGTGTGGGATTTGGTAAGAAGTTTTTTTTATATTGGTGAGTGTGGGATTTGTTCATGTCTTTTTAAATTGGTGAGTGTGGGATTTGTTCATGTCTTTTTAAATTGGTGAGTGTGGGATTTGGTAAGAAGTTTTTTTTATATTGGTGAGTGTGGGATTTGTTCATGTCTTTTTATATTGGTGAGTGTGGGATTTGTTCAGAAGTCTTTTTATATTGGTGAGTGTGGGATTTGTTCATGTCTTTTTATATTGGTGAGTGTGGGATTTGTTCACATCTTTTTTTTTTTTGGAAAGTGTTGGATTTATTTACGTCTTTTTATATCTGTGAGTCTACGATTTAGTTACTATTTTTACTTTATTCACATTATTAAAATTTAACAAATATGGACCTTTGAATAAAAATACCAATTAGTAATTTTTAAATGAAGCCTCAAAATTTTGTCGTAAATACTACCACAGTGAACTAAAGAGCTGTTTTCCAAAATTTAAGTATATTTTTGTGGTTTTGAGATATTTAAAAAAAAAACCATTATGGGTAAAGTATTATTTCTGGTAAAAAATTTGATTAATTTGTTGTGTTACAAAACATTTGAACATGAACTGTAAGTAGCTTGAACATCCTTGCCAGTTGCTAAACTCTTTATGAACACTGTCATTTTTTCCATAACTTGTTTACATCTTTTACTCACTATGAACTGGTTGATATAATTATAATTGAACACGATTCACAAGGTACAGATATTATATATTGTAACAATTCATTTTTTGGGTATTTGGTCATTTAACACATTAGGATATTGGTCAGTCAATGGCTTTAGACATTTGAAATCTCTTGAGCTGATGTCAGGTGATCCAGTCTAGTCATGTGATAACTGCGTCAATGTTTTTTTTGTTGAGCAGATGGCCAGATCAGGTATCCCAGGTGTAACAGACCAGGCGGTGCAGTACGTGCAGAATGCACTTTTACCTGGCCAGACAGAGGCGCAGGCTACAGCCACATTTACCAGGTAAACAGCCACATTTACCAGGTAAACATACACCTTTACCAGGTAAACCTGCACATTTACCAGGTAAACTTACACATTTACCTGGTAAACAGCGACATTTACCTGGTAAACTTACACATTTACCAAGTAAACATACACATTTACCTGGCAATAAGATACATGGTTCACATGTAGCGGCATGTTAAAGAATGCAGATTTATTAAACCCATTTCATATGTTAATTAATTTTAAAAATACAGACATAGTTTTGAAGACTTTAACTTCATTGTGTTAGATTAGATATGTGTGTGCATGAAGGTGACCAGAAAGATGCGCAACATGTACCTAATGTTTTCTCCCCCCTCCCACAGAATGATTGAAGAGAGCGTCAACTCTGTGTTTACATCCTTCAACTTTTTCATCCACAACCTGGCCCAGCTCAAGTTTTCTAGTCACAACGAGGGAACTCTTCTGTCTTTTGTACCCAAGTCTTATAAGTTTGTACACTTTTGCTTTCAACTTTTCCATATTTTGTATACAGTTATGATTTTTGATTTTGGGGAATTAATCAAATGTTTCCTTTATAAAACACTAATTTTATGCTCTATTATATGCACATTTTTTACATTAATTTGGTATGCAGTTCTTTTTCTACATGATTCTATTCTATTTTAAAAATGTAATATACGAGAAAGTTTAGGGGATATTGCTCCCACTTTATTTAATACACTATTTATTTGCAAAAGTTATTTTTTTTAACTTAAATGTATTTCTTGGTTTTGTAAAAAAAATAAGCCATTTATTTGAACAAAGAATGACAAAATAGGAGTTGACGTTGTATGATGTTTTATTATTGTTTATTGTATTCCATTTGTCCTGATGTGTCTTGTATTCCAAATTTTCTACTGCAGCAAAGACACAGATGGGAAAATCACCTCAGTAGAGCTAGTCAGATTTCAGAAGAGATACACACCAGACAAGCATTATGTAAGTCTTCACCAAACATTGTATATAGATAGAACTTCTTAGTTTTTTTTTACAAAATCTTTTCATTTGATGTACTTTGTCCGCAGATAATTTTCTGTCGGACAATTAATTTTTGTTTTAAAAAAAAGGTGGAAAACCTTTCTGCCTCTCAATGCTCTGTTTAATTTTGTCAAAATGGAAAAGGAAATTGCAAGTTTTCTTTTAATGTCAAGCTGGTGGTGATGTGTGTAGTGTGATGTCTGTGATGTGATGTCTTTGATGTGTTTTTGAGAGTTATTAAATGATGAATGTAGTGTAAGATTAGCAAATGAACTGATTCTAGGCTTACCTTAATTCAGTTATTGCATTTTATCAGGGCTTATTTATTTTAAAATTTTCGTTTCAATATTTGGAAATGTTCTAAAAACCTGAAAATACCAAAAATAGGTGGGGAAATCTGTTGCGTCCCCCCTCCCCACCTCTTGTAAAAAAAATATTCCACTCTTTTCTTAAGCGGGTAGTTACATTTTCACTTGACAAACATGTAAGTCTTGTAACACACCAGAATTTATTATCTCAAACCTTTGATTGAATTTCTAATTGAGTTTTAAAACTTTAATTGACTTTTCAGTTTTTTTATTAATTTTTAAAACTCCAATTGTTTTTTCCCCTGTTTTAAAATTGTTTAAAAATAATTGACTTTTCAGATTTTCTAATTAATTTTTAAAATTAAAAAAAAATTATTGTTTAAAACTCGAATTGACGTTTCAGATTTTCATATTGAAAGTGGAGAGGGAGAACCAGAAAGTGCCTATGTATATCTTCCGTCAGTTCCTGGAATTTGTGGAGTTCAGGGACAAACTTAATGAAATGTTTCCTCTCATTACATGGCCCAACTTTTCTAAAAGGTTTGTGTTAGATAACCTGCCAGATCTGTCTTGCTTTAGATAACTTGTACACTTTATAATGTACAGCTGTTGTGCAGTTTTTGATATTAAAGCCATGAAATATCTTGTATATTTTAAATGACACCACATTTAAAAAAGTTATTTCTGATTTCCAGATTAGTGTTTGGACGAAGCAATATAAGAAGTGTTGCAGAAAGTCGTAGGACAGAAATAATTAATTTCCTTCGTTTCTTGTGGACTTTGACTGCCGAGATATCAGAGGTTGGAGTTTTATAATTTAATATATTATATAATTAATAATTTTATAATTAATTTACATTAATTTAATATTATATTAATTAAATACAAAATAAATTTATATTGCTTCAATGATAATAGGTTCATTTTTAAAAAAAGGTGAATTGTTTTGTTGAAATATTGAGAAGTTTTTATATGTTTCCCTGTTGTAGTGTGAGCTGGTGTACACATTCTTCCACCCACTGCTGAGGGATGAACAGGAGACAGAGACAAATAAACTCAATGTCGTCAAACTCAGAGGTTAGGCTTTAGTCATACACAGTTTTACTCAATATAAACTCAATGTCTCAGAGGTTAGGCTTTAGTAATACACAGTTTTACTCAATATAAACTCAATGGCTCAGAGGTTAGGCTTTAGTCATACACAGTTGTACTCAATATAAACTCAGTGTCTCAGAGGTTAGGCTTTAGTCATACACAGTTTTACTCAATATAAACTCAATGGCTCAGAGGTTAGGCTTTAGTCATACACAGTTGTACTCAATATAAACTCAATGTCTCAGAGGTTAGGCTTTAGTCATACAGTTTTACTCAATATAAACTCAGTGTCTCAGAGGTTAGGCTTTAGTCATACACAGTTGTACTCAATATAAACTCAATGTCTCAGAGGTTAGGCTTTAGTCAAACACAGTTGTACTCAATATAAACTCAATGGCTCAGAGGCTAGGCTTTAGTCATACACAGTTGTACTCAATATAAACTCAATGTCTCAGAGGTTAGGCTTTAGTCATACACAGTTGTACTCACATTGGCTCTGTTTGCTGCTAGACACAAAATACATTTTTAGCTTGTTGGTTGGAAATTTATTCCAAGCTTTGGAAATGATAAAAAATGAGGTCCATTACAAAATACTAAAAAATTATGTTGGTTATGAAATGAAAAAATATGATATTTATTATGAAAGCATAAAATGTGTTTGACAAAGAGATTAAAAAATATGGTGTTAATAAAGTAATGATAAAATATGGTGTTGATAAAAAAGTTGATACAGTATGATGTTGATACAAAAAAATTGATAAAATATGATTTTGATTTGCCCCTAGAACCTGCAGTTCAGCGCTCCAACACAGCAGGTAGCACTGGAATTCTGGGAGAGATCAAACTTTCCATCCAGTACAAGAAAGATGCACTGCAAGTCATGATCATGCATGTCCGAGGATTGGTCAGTTTTATTTGTGTTAGGGTTGGTTAGTTTATATGAGGTTTGGTTATTTTGTGTTAGGGTTGGTTAGTTTGTGTTATGGTGGGTTAGTTTGTATGAGGTTTGGTTAGTTTTTTTTTAGGGTTGGTTAGTTTTTGTTAGGGTTTGTTAGTTTGTGTGAGGTTTGGTTAGTTTAGCCCATAACATTTTGACATGTAACACTTAATTGTGTTGGAAGAAATCCCTTCCAACTTTAAAATTAAGAATGACCATTATCTTTGTCCCCAGTCTGGCACCTACCTTACCTTTTGTCCCCAGTCTGGCACCTACCTTACCTTTTACCTGAGCATTATCTTTTGTCCCCAGTCTGGCACCTACCTTACCTTTTACCTGAGCATTATCTTTTGTCCCCAGTCTGGCACCTACCTTACCTTTTGTCCCCAGTCTGGCACCTACCTTACCTTTTACCTGAGCATTATCTTTTGTCCCCAGTCTGGCACCTACCTTACCTTTTGTCCCCAGTCTGGCACCTACCTTACCTTTTACCTGAGCATTATCTTTTGTCCCCAGTCTGGCACCTACCTTACCTTTTACCTGAGCATTATCTTTTGTCCCCAGTCTGACACCTACCTTACCTTTTACCTGAGCATTATCTTTTGTCCCCAGTCTGGCACCTACCTTACCTTTTGTCCCCAGTCTGGCACCTACCTTACCTTTTACCTGAGCATTATCTTTTGTCCCCAGTCTGGCACCTACCTTACCTTTTGTCCCCAGTCTGGCACCTACCTTACCTTTTACCTGAGCATTATCTTTTGTCCCCAGTCTGGCACCTACCTTACCTTTTGTCCCCAGTCTGGCACCTACCTTACCTTTTACCTGAGCATTATCTTTTGTCCCCAGTCTGGCACCTACCTTACCTTTTGTCCCCAGTCTGGCACCTACCTTACCTTTTACCTGAGCATTATCTTTTGTCCCCAGTCTGGCACCTACCTTACCTTTTACCTGAGCATTATCTTTTGTCCCCAGTCTGGCACCTACCTTACCTTTTGTCCCCAGTCTGGCACCTACCTTACCTTTTACCTGAGCATTATCTTTTGTCCCCAGTCTGACACCTACCTTACCTTTTACCTGAGCATTATCTTTTGTCCCCAGTCTGGCACCTACCTTACCTTTTACCTGAGCATTATCTTTTGTCCCCAGTCTGGCACCTACCTTACCTTTTGTCCCCAGTCTGGCACCTACCTTACCTTTTACCTGAGCATTATCTTTTGTCCCCAGTCTGGCACCTACCTTACCTTTTACCTGAGCATTATCTTTTGTCCCCAGTCTGGCACCTACCTTACCTTTTGTCCCCAGTCTGGCACCTACCTTACCTTTTACCTGAGCATTATCTTTTGTCCCCAGTCTGGCACCTACCTTACCTTTTACCTGAGCATTATCTTTTGTCCCCAGTCTGGCACCTACCTTACCTTTTGTCCCCAGTCTGGCACCTACCTTACCTTTTACCTGAGCATTATCTTTTGTCCCCAGTCTGGCACCTACCTTTTACCCGAGCATTATCTTATGTCCCCAGTCTGGCACCACAGAGCCACCTAGCCCGTATGTCAAGACTTACCTTTTACCTGATCCAGACAAGGTGACCAAACTGAAGACAAAGACTGTGAAGACAACCAATGACCCAACTTACAATGAACTGGTAAGTTTAGACACTTCAGTTTTTCAAGTTTATGACCCTTATGTTTATGGAAAATTTTTCACTTATAGCTGGTACCTTTGAACTACTGGCCTGTAAATAGTTCATTCAGTTTTGAATATTTTAAAATAAACTGCATATGCAAAAGTATAGAAGAAAAAGGGAGCTGCATAATTAATAACTGAGATAAATTTTCAGCATCACAATAAAGATGTATCAAATACATTAAAATGTCTACAGCATCACCATAACTAAAACAATAATTTATCACAGTAAAGATGTATTAAATATAACATTAAAATATCTACATTACAATAAGTAAAACAATAATTTACTGTATTTACCGAGTACATATTTACCAACATGATGTAATGTACAAGATTAGTCCTTCTATTTGAGTTGTTTGGTCTACAGCTCCAGTACCAGCTGTCGGAGCAGGAGATCAAGTACCGCATCCTGCAGGTGACTGTCTGGGACAGCGCTGTCCTGAAGGAGAACAACTTCCTGGGGGCTGTCTACATACGTCTGAGAGACCTTGACCTCTCCAAGGACAACACCTGCTGGCATAAACTGGGCAGGATCCAGATGCCAAGCTTTTAACAGTGCCCTGACTTCTGATAGATGCCCTGACTTCTGATAGATGCCCTGACTTCTGATAGATGCCCTGACTTCTGATAGATGCCCTGACTTCCGAATGATGCCCTGACTTCTGATATATGCCCTGATTTCTGATATATGCCCTGATTTCTGATAGATGCCCTGACTTCTGATAGATGCCCTGACTTCTGATAGATGCCCTGACTTCTGATAGATGCCCTGACTTCTGATAGATGCCCTGACTTCTGATAGATGCCCTGACTTCTGATAGATGCCCTGACTTCTGATAGATGCCCTGACTTCTGATAGATGCCCTGACTTCTGAAAATTGCCCTGACTTCTGATAGATGCCCTGACTTGAAATGTGCAAATGTTAAGAATTGTTAAGTTAATCATGTAGTTGCTTGTTACTTCCTTAGAGAGATGGGGATCACTTACTCACTGTTGTGTTAGATGTCATCAAAATTTTGTGTACCAACAAGCTCATCTTTTTTCAAAATCACTTTTCTGTGTGTACTCACTGGCATCTTACACTTTTACCATGGAATTCATCAAATATCAGGAAGGCCATATGTTGGCCAGATATTTGCTGGTGTGTGAGACCAATTTGCAAGTGACTAACTCTTCACCTGTTTGTGCCAAAGTTTTTCCAATGTTTGTGTTCACCTTGTTACAAACAAATCAGAGTGATCCTCTGTTAGGTCAATAGTACCCCAGGGTGTGCTTGTACACTCGGACACACCCTGGTGGAAACATGCCCCACCCCACCTGCCATATAACCCAGGCTACAAGGGATCCGAGCAAGTATAACAATAGTTCAGTGCCAAAGATGAACAAAAGTTTCTTCATAAGAAAAAAATGAACAAGAGTTCTCACAACTTTTAAATATTTATCTTAATTTTTAAACAAATATTGCAAAGAAAGATATAATTCAAAAGAATGAAATTTTGTATTTTATGTACTTTCTAACAGAGACATGTAACATTAGAACTGGCCTTAACTTCTTTTCCTAGCTTGCCATATAGTTGTATCTACATAAACCTTGTCATACTCTTTGATTTGGTTGACCTAAGTTACCAGTTTGCTATAGACTTATGGGAATTATTCTTATTTTTCCATCTAGTTGTATCTACATAAATCTTGTCATACTCTTTGATTTAGTTGACCTAAGTTACCAGTTTGCTATAGACTTATGGGAATTATTCTTATTTTTCCATCTAGTTGTATCTACATAAACCTTGTCATACTCTTTAATTTGGTTGACCTAAGCTACCAGTTTGCTATGTTGTGCTTTATGTGTTAAAGACTTCCAATGCCGTACAACTGCTGTAAGACAAAGTATTATTGTTATTTCACCTGTTACACACCTGTTCATTGCATGTAAATGTCAGTTTTCTTGCTCAATTTTATTTAGGCTTGTGATTGGTAGATTAGAAAAAAAAATGTTTCTAGCCAGTATGATGGAGCACGAGTAGTTTACAAGTAGTTTTTTCTTTGTTTTTGTTTCACTGGAGCTTCTACATTAGCTTTAATTACTGTGCTTTTCTAATTTTTGTTTTATTAATGTACTTTTAATTTTCTGTTTATTCTTATAAACCACAATGACTGGTGTTGATATATGTTGATCCTAAGGTCTTTAGCTGTGGTGTTGATCCTGAGGTCTTTAGCTCTGGTGTTGATATGTTGATCCTAAGGTCTTTAGCTCTGGTGTTGATAAAACTTGATATGTTGACCTATATCTGTGTTGAGCTAGTCCATTGATGATGTTTTCTTTGCATGTTTCTATTCCCTTGTTTATGGAGTGTCCTACTGTACTTTTAAAATCTTAGTTGATGAAATGGTGTCAGTTATAATTAGAAACTGGTCATTGAAACATTGTAAAAACACATTTTTGGAAGTTGTTGAAATTGTTTTTTTGAAAAGAACCAATCAGATCTGTTGTATTATGTGCCAATGGACCGACGTGTGATTTTAAATTTTCTTTTGTTTGCCTGTGAAATATATTTCTTTTTTCATTTATGTATACATCATTTGTATTTATTTTAATATTTAAAAAAAAATTATTCACAGAACTAAATTTGCTAGAAGCAGATGTATTTTGTAGATAGACAATTGTTCAGCTTGACATTTTATCAGATATGTTACCAGCACTCCTGTAGTCACAGGGTCAGATTTTTATGCCTGTTGAGGTTTGCCAAATTTCAGCTTGCCAGGTTGGAGCTTGCTATCAAGGAGCTTGCAATATTCTAGCCTGATTTTGTATACGTAAGTTTGAAGTTGAAAGAAAAGCTTGAGTTTTAACACATTTTTCAGTTTTAAAAACACTTTCCAATGTAAAAAAGATTCTATAAGATTATATTTAAAAACTTGACTGAACTAAAAATGTAAAGTGTATAAATGAGTTGTGTGCATATTGCTGAGCAGACTGTGACTGGGTGTTGGACTGTGTTAAAAAACAAACCACACCTCTATATCCTGTACATAACACATCTAATGTGCTTGTAAATCAAAGTTGAGTGCAATCTATTCATACACCTGTGGCAACCAATAGTTTTAATAAAGGATTATTTATTTGCACACTTTAGGGAGGCTCGGATTTTTGTTTGTCACTTGGTCAAGAAAATAATTTGTCTTGGGTAAAGAAAATGAACTTCTATTTAGTTGAAACATTTGTTGATCTAGCATTTGTTATAGTTGGAATACACCCCATAGAATATGGTCTTCTATTTGTGTTAGTGTTTAAGTTAATGTCTTGTTTATTGTAATGCAGGGGAAAATGTCTCTGGCACTGTCTGTCAAATGTAAGGACTTGTTAGTGGGGGGGGGGGGGGGGGGGGAGTGTTGGGGATTTAGCATCATCAAATGTAATATTCCTCAAGTTAGCACTTACAGACTTATTTTAAAAATAAGCTGCATTCAGGGGACACAACCCATTTTTCATTATTATTTTCCCTGGTTATGTCCCTTTCATATAAAATCTTTCTTTACCCTGTCTCAAGACGGGCCATTACTGATGGCCATGGTGTCTCAACTTGTTGGACCATTACTGATGGCCACTTTCTGGTGTCTCAACTTCACAGCCAATTATTGGAAGCCTAGCTTTAACTGCCCTTGCAAGGTGGCCAGACTACCTAAATGAAGTCTTTATTAATCCTGTTTACATTTTATCCACATATGTATAATAAATATTCACTAATATAATGTTTGTGTGAACATTAAGTTAATTACTATTGCTAATTAAGAATCCTTATAATAACCATTCCGTTTGGTAGACGTGGAATAATTTAAAAAATGATTCTATTACTAATTAATACAACTATGAATACTATTAATTAAATAATGTCAAACTAGAATGTTTAACATGTTATCAGTATAAATTTCTCTCATTAGACTAGGAACAGTTTTTTGTATGGTGTTTTCTTTGGATAGATTTTTTATTAGAATTTTAATTTGTTTTACACTCTGATAACCTAATCTTTGTTTAGTGTAGGCTTGTATTTGTTGCATGTATGTACATATTTTGTATGTCTTTGATTATATGTCTAAATTCTATAAATATGTATGTTACCCTTTTTCTATATGTGTATCTGTTGTTGAATAAGTATGTACGTTTCTTTTGTTTAGATAAGTATGTATGTATCAGTTTTTATAGGCATAATGTACCAGTTCTATGCGTATCATGTATGTCAAAGTGTTATATTTATGTGTTTCTTTTTGAAGCATATGTTGGTGCCTTACTTACAGTGATAAAGAAACAATTGTGTTGATGTTGTAAATCAAGGAACTGTTTTTGTAAAGCATTGTTTGACCAAAGACCAACTCTAATGTTTGCTTATGATGTGAACCAATGTTGTGTCACCTCCTGTTTAATATGAGATAACTTGTGGTGTCACCACCTGTGTTGTATGAATAATGATATAAATTCTTTTTATCATGGTACTCAATGAGATAATTATTGTGTCACCACCTGTACTATGTAACAAATCTTATGTCTCACCACCTGTATTGAATGAGATAACCATTGTTGTGTCACCACCTGTATTGAATGAGATAACCAGTTTTGTGTCACCACCTGTATTGTATAAAAGCCATTTTTGTGTCACCACCTGTATTGTATACAAACATTTTTGTGTCACCACTTGTATTGAATGAGAAAACCAGTTTTGTATCACCACCTGTACTGTATAAAACCTATTTTTGTGTCACCACCTGTATTGAAAGAGATAACTATTGTTGTATCACCAACTGTATTGTATACAAACATTTTTGTGTCACCACTTGTATTGAATGAGAAAACCAGTTTTGTGTCACCACCTATACTGTATAAAACCTATTTTTGTGTCACCACTTGGATTGAATGAGATAACCAGTTTTGTATCACCACCTGTACTGTATAAAACCTATTTTTGTGTCACCACCTGTATTGAAAGAGATAACTATTGTTGTATCACCAACTGTATTGTATACAAACATTTTTGTGTCACCACTTGTATTGAATGAGAAAACCAGTTTTGTGTCACCACCTATACTGTATAAAACCTATTTTTGTGTCACCACTTGGATTGAATGAGATAACCATTGTTGTGTCACCACCTGTATTGTATAAAAAAACCTTTTTGTTTGTCACCACCTGTATTGAACGAGACAACCTGAAGCATCGAACCCAGTTTTGTGTCAAGAATTTCTGCTGTGCTTGTGATATCTTATTTATTCTTTCTCTCTCTGACAACTACCAAAACAATAGCACTGGATTTTATTGGTATCTGAATAAAACTTGTAAGACTAAAGCTGTTTTTCTAAGGTGTAAGTCATAGCATACTCTCTTTTCTAGATCTGATCCTCTATATGTCAGGTAAAGTAGAGTATATCTGTTTAGCTACAATTTAAAGTGAATTGTATGAAGTTAGCCCATCACTTTCTTTGCTGTAAAATCAGGGATCTAAACGGGGCCAAACTCAAGGGGATGTGATGTCTCACATTGTGGGGTGTCACATTATGAGCTGTCACATTGTGATGTCTCACATTGTGGGGTGTCACATTATGAGCTGTCACATTGTGATGTCTCACATTGTGAACTGTCACATTGTGATGTCTCACATTGTGAACTGTCACATTGTGGTTTCTCACATTGTGAACTGTCACATTGTGATGTCTCACATTGTGATGTCTCACATTGTGGGGTGTCACATTGTGAACTGTCACATTGTGGGGTGTCACATTGTGAACTGTCATATTGTGGGGTGTCATATTGTGGGGTGTCACATTGTGGGGTGTCACATTGTGGGGTGTCACATTGTGAACTGTCACATTGTGGGGTGTCACATTGTGAACTGTCACATTGTGGGGTGTCACATTGTGGGGTGTCACATTGTGAACTGTCACATTGTGGGGTGTCACATTGTGGGGTGTCACATTGTGGGGTGTCACATTGTGGGGTGTCACATTGTGAACTGTCACATTGTGGGGTGTCACATTGTGGGGTGTCACATTGTGAACTGTCACATTGTGGGGTGTCACATTGTGGGGTGTCACATTGTGGGGTGTCACATTGTGGGGTGTCACATTGTGAACTGTCACATTGTGGGCTGTCACATTGTGGGTTGTCACATTGTGGGGTGTCACATTGTGATGTATCACATTGTGGGGTGTCACATTGTGAACTGTCACATTGTGGGGTGTCACATTGTGAACTGTCATATTGTGGGGTGTCATATTGTGGGGTGTCACATTGTGGGGTGTCACATTGTGGGGTGTCACATTATGAGCTGTCACATTGTGATGTCTCACATTGCGAACTGTCACATTGTGATGTCTCACATTGTGAACTGTCACATTGTGGTGTCTCACATTGTGAACTGTCACATTGTGGTGTCTCACATTGTGAACTGTCACATTGTGATGTCTCACATTGTGATGTCTCACATTGTGGGGTGTCACATTGTGAACTGTCACATTGTGGGGTGTCACATTGTGGGGTGTCACATTGTGAACTGTCACATTGTGAACTGTCATATTGTGGGGTGTCACATTGTGAACTGTCACATTGTGGGGTGTCACATTGTGGGGTGTCACATTGTGGGGTGTCACATTGTGGGGTGTCACATTGTGAACTGTCACATTGTGGGTTGTCACATTGTGGGGTGTCACATTGTGATGTCTCACATTGCAAACTGTCACATTGTGATGTCTCACATTGTGAACTGTCACATTGTGGTTTCTCACATTGTGAACTGTCACATTGTGATGTCTCACATTGTGGGGTGTCACATTGTGAACTGTCACATTGTGAACTGTCACATTGTGAACTGTCACATTGTGGGGTGTCACATTGTGGGGTGTCACATTGTGGGGTGTCACATTGTGAACTGTCACATTGTGGGGTGTCACATTGTGGGGTGTCACATTGTGGGGTGTCACATTGTGAACTGTCACATTGTGGGGTGTCACATTGTGAACTGTCACATTGTGGGGTGTCACATTGTGGGGTGTCACATTGTGGGGTGTCACATTGTGAACTGTCACATTGTGGGCTGTCACATTTTGGGTTGTCACATTTTGGGTTGTCACATTGTGGGGTGTCACATTGTGATGTATCACATTGTGGGGTGTCACATTGTGAACTGTCACATTGTGGGGTGTCACATTGTGAACTGTCATATTGTGGGGTGTCATATTGTGGGGTGTCACATTGTGGGGTGTCACATTGTGGGGTGTCACATTATGAGCTGTCACATTGTGATGTCTCACATTGCGAACTGTCACATTGTGATGTCTCACATTGTGAACTGTCACATTGTGGTTTCTCACATTGTGAATTGTCACATTGTGGTGTCTCACATTGTGAACTGTCACATTCTGATGTCTCACATTGTGATGTCTCACATTGTGGGGTGTCACATTGTGAACTGTCACATTGTGGGGTGTCACATTGTGGGGTGTCACATTGTGGGGTGTCACATTGTGAACTGTCACATTGTGAACTGTCATATTGTGGGGTGTCACATTGTGAACTGTCACATTGTGGGGTGTCACATTGTGGGGTGTCACATTGTGGGGTGTCACATTGTGGGGTGTCACATTGTGAACTGTCACATTGTGGGTTGTCACATTGTGGGGTGTCACATTATGAGCTGTCACATTGTGATGTCTCACATTGCGAACTGTCACATTGTGATGTCTCACATTGTGAACTGTCACATTGTGGTGTCTCACATTGTGAACTGTCACATTGTGGTGTCTCACATTGTGAACTGTCACATTTTGATGTCTCACATTGTGGGGTGTCACATTGTGAACTGTCACATTGTGGGGTGTCACATTGTGGGGTGTCACATTGTGGGGTGTCACATTGTGAACTGTCACATTGTGGGTTGTCACATTGTGGGGTGTCACATTGTGAACTGTCACATTGTGGGGTGTCACAGTGTGGGGTGTCACATTGTGAACTGTCACATTGTGGGGTGTCACATTGTGGGGTGTCACATTGTGGGGTGTCACATTGTGGGGTGTCACGTTGTGGGGTGTCACATTGTGGGGTGTCACATTGTGAACTGTCACATTGTGAACTGTCACATTGT